ACACACACACAGCCTCTTCCCAATATGCATTTTTGCAATTTACATATATGCAAAAACGCATAAAAAACTACCGCTAAACGGGAACTGTTTATTTTCGTTTATGCAAAATTTACGATGATTTACGATATTGAGCGCAGAAGGTGGATTTGAAGCAACAACAATCATTCACGCAGTTAACCTAATTACTTCAAGTTTGGTGCAAAAAAGCATGATCGCACCGGCAAGGCTGGTGCGTTCCAGCCTGGGTTTCTCTTACAAGAAGCGAACGGGCGCTCTCTTTATTTCAAAAAACGCGAAAAATATAAATGATTCAAAAAATCTTAAAAAATATAATTTGCTATCCAGACTTTCAAAATTTTTGAATCCTTCTTCCGAACTTTATGAATTTCCAGGACAGCAATCGCATAGCTGCGACAAACCAGCGACGTCGTAATCGGCTATCAGCGGATGAACTGGAAGAAGCACAAATGCCATTGAAAATACCAAAATTAACAAAAGCGCAGAAAACTGCATTAATTCTTGAATCCGGGCAGAATCCTTTCGAAAAAAAACGGCACCATGGTCGACGACGGAAAGGTGGAAAAAAATTTTATGGCTTAACAAGGACAAAAAAGCATTTTTTTAACTCCTGCAGGGTGACGAAATGAGCTAGTGAGATAGTGAGGTAAATAAAAAGAGGAAACAGCAGCGTCGTTTAGAGGAATGGGTTTTCGCAGGTAAATTACTTGTCGAATTCAAAAATTTAAAAATAATATGGTGCGAGTGGAACAGAAAATGAGTGTTGGGACGGTATACATACCCAGACTGGAAAGCACCAGGCAAGCCGGTGCGACCATGCGTTTTTGCACAATTTCTTGCGGATTTTTAGTGCTGCGTTAATGCGATTTGTGCTCGCGTTAGCTTTATTGATTATCTTTTATTTATTTCATTTTTAACTTAAACATCATTATTAGATCACAATAGTAGATCACATGTGCATTATCCGCGTTACTGGTCATTGCAAATTCAAATTATCATAAAAATGGCTTCATTTGATGTAATGAGGACGTGTGTTGGTTTCCCAGTAAGTATTTATGTTCTTCCGCTACGAATCGTGAAAATTCGATCTTGGCTGGCGGTTGCGATTGCTGTTTTGCTGCTGTCATGATAAAGCAGATCTATACTTCAATTATTTTGTACGTCATATCTGGCCCAGATGAGCTAGTCAGAGAGACGTATGTGCTGTGACTTATGTTGAAATTGCTTACAACCAGGTCAAGGGTTGTATTTGCATTGGTAGCGGGCACATTTACATTCCAGATTTTTAACCACAATTCTTCCATCGTTTCCCTAAATCGGGGACTTGCTGTTTCCATAATGTTGTGATTAAAATCACCCAGTATTAGTTTCCGTCCCTTTTCCGCAGAATATCTCGCTAGGAACGACCGAATGGTGCCGATTGTTACACTTGGACTTGCGTATGCTCTTGCAATGAGCACATTGCGCAGTTTTAAAACAGTTGCATCTATCCAGTCCTCATTTTCTCCAGTTCTTATGGGGGCTGGATCACGGACATCACTCAGCAGTCGCTGTGATACCAAGCAGCATGCTCCGCATGCTCTCCTCGCCGGTTCCGTGCAGTCAACGCGTGCAACCGTCTTGT